AAATACCTTTTGCCTCCATTAGAGATTGGTCTTATTGGCCCACATATGTCAGAGTGAACCAACTCCAAAACATTCTTTGCTCGCCATGATTTGCCTTTCGGGAATTGAGATCGGTGTTGTTTGCCAACAACACATTGTTCAAAAATTTGAGAAGGAGCAGTAATTTGAGGAAGACCTGTGACCATGTTCTTCTAAAGTGTCTTCAATCCTCCAAAACTCAAATGACCATAACGAAAATGCCACAACCATGAGGGATCCTTCACTTCCGTCATCAAAAAAGAGGTAACAAAACAATAAGGAAGGCAATAACCTCAACTAAGGCATATAAGGTCCAATAACGAATAAGAGGTACAATAAGTGCTAACAGCGTCAAATAGAGCATGTAAGAGTAGACTAACAACGAGATATCACATGTTATGACAATTCAATTAAAGGCATGGGAAGAGACTAGACACTNCCATTCTTGGTTTTGATCTTGATGTCACCTTTTCCCGTTGCATCCACAGTAGGACAATCACCAAAACTAACTTTAGAACGGAAGCCTTCATTTAAGTAAGAAAAGCAAGATTTACTTCCAGTCATGTGATTAGTGCAGCCTGTGTCTAAATACCAAACATCTCGCTCGGTTTCCTTCTCTACTTGAATTGCCATCAACAAGGTCTCACCTTCCTTGTTCTCCGCGTAATTGGACTTCTCTTCCTTTTCTTTGTCATTAGGCAGCCTAGTATAACATTCAGATGCGTAATGACCAAATTTATGACATCTATAGCACTCTATCTTGGATTTGTCATAATCTCGACCTCTGTCTTTTCCTTGAGATTGATCATTATTTGCTTTGAAATTCCTACAGGAATCTCTACCTCCATGATCTCCTCTTCTTCTGCCCGACCTCTACCTCTACCCCTTCCTCTGGAATTGGAAGAAGAAATAAAAGTAGAAGCCTTCAAAGCCTGCTCATCGGAAGTTGAACTACGGTTCGTCTTCTGCTCATGCACCAATAAGGAGCTCTGCAATTCGTCAAGTGATAAGACATCTATGTCTTTTGACTCCTCAATGGAGCAAACGACATAATCATACTTTGGTGTCAGAGAGCGCAATATCTTTCCACTATTACGAAGTTGTCCATGTTCTCACCATGGAAGCGCATCTTGTTGCATATCTCCATGGTTCTAGCACAGTAGTTGGTTACGGATTCTCCTTCCTTCATCTGCAAGGTTTCAAAGTCCCTCCTCAAGGCTTGAAGCTGTGCTCGCTTCACTCTTGTAGAGCCTTGATACTTTTTCTTCATGGAACCCCATATATCCTTGGAAGTTTCTTTGCAAAGAATGGTTTCCAAGATGGGATGCTCAATAGCCTGAAAGAGATAATTTTTTGCCTTTAAATCTTTCAACTTTCTTGCTTCAAACTCAGTCTTTTGAGCATCCGTCAAAGTTTCGCCTACTACTGGTGCTTTAATGCCGTCTTCAACAATTGGCCAATACTCTTTTGACCGTAGGAAATTCTCCATCAGCATACTCCACTGGTCATAGTGACCATCAAAACGGGGAATAGTTGCTTGCACAAAATTGCTCTCTGAAGCCATAGATGAAGAACAATTTTTTTTGTTTTTGGGTAAACACTCTCTCTCACAGGTTTATCTTTTTTCTGGATCTAACCTTGCTCTAGATACCATTGATAGAAAACTGATCAGAAAAGGATGAAGATTTATAAGTGAAAAATAGAGCAGAGAAAGAGGCAATAGACGTGAAAAAGAAATTGCTTGACTGATTGACTACAATGCTGCAACTGTAGTCTTTTTATAACAGAAAAAATATAGCAAACTTAAGCTAAAAATTAGGAACTAGCCCACAAAGTTTTCTCCTAAAAACTAGATAACAAAAACCACATTAAACTACTTCCTAAGGACTAGGACAAACCTAAAAAAAATAGGAGTTTTATTTACTAACATATAGTCCAGGAAAATAATAATCGGCAATAGGGCCAAGATCTTTCTCTAAACTTAGTTTCAAGCATTTTTAATCTTGCCCATGCCATCTCCAAAGATAGTGTTGGAGAATATTACTCAAAACCAAATCTTCCATAATAACTGACTTTCCGTCATAACACTGGAACATCGAAAGGAGTTCTTTATTGATCGGCTAGCTAGAAGCCTTCCTTGAAACAAATCGTCACCCAAGTTGTGTATACACTACCATAACCTATGTCATTGATCTATAAATCCAAACTTGTTGAACTTATACCTTGTTAAAATATAAAGAAACAAAAAGATAAGTAATACCCCTTTTGAGAAAAATGATAGCTAACAAGTTGATAATAATACTAAAATTCATAATACCTTGTTGATGTCCTTTCCCAATTTCATATTTTCTTGACTTCTGCAAATGGAAATCTGGATGTTTCCAAAGAATACCAAATCAATCGTGAGAAAGGGTTGAGAAAAGGTGAGAGGCGGTTAGGGTTTTGAGAGAAACGAATTAGAGTGTGGCATTTATTAAGAGTTCCTAATTTGTTTTTCAGTAAAGTCTTAAAATTTCCTTAATATCCGTCTATCAAATTTAAGTTACAAATGCAGTAAATTTTTCATTTTTAGTTCAAAATGTCACTAAATTGTACTTTATTGTGATTTAAGATCGAAATCAAAATTATTACTATGTTTTTATCGTATTTTACACTATTCTGTCGTTATTGTTATGTCGATATTTTAAACAACCTTTTTGTCGACCATATTTACTATCACTAATTAAATATAAAAATGACTTTTTTTTCTTCTACAATGAACGATTTAACAATTAAAAAATATAGTAAAATTTCCAACATCAGATGTAAATATTGTTAGTTACCAATTACTAATATGATATTTAAATTGTAAGTCATAATTTTTTCAACATTTTGTATTAAATGTTGTTGTTTTTACAATACTTTATATCAAATGTTTTTTTTACGATATTTTGTATCAAATATCATTATTTTTATGACATTTATTCATAAATGTCGAGAAATTCATTTTTTTTTTGACATTTATTTCAAATATCACTAAATAAATTTCGTCGTATCCTCACTTTCTTGTAGTTCATCTAAAATTTGATGCCATAGAAGTTTTTGCTCTTTATTTCGATTGTTCTTTTAAAATTAGTAAAAGTGGACATCTGATTCTTTAGTTCTCTTAATATTTGTACATCTGATACTCCCTTACTAGCATTAGAAGTATAGGTGTCTAACGGGTGGGCCGGGTCGGGCTAGGTAAGGAAATTTAGTAACCGTATGGGTTGTGGTCCGGGCCGGTTACGGGTTGGGGCATACCGGGTTTAATGGGTTCGGGTTCATCCGGGTAAAAATTGAACCATAAGGGTTACGGGTACAAGGGGCCGGGCCGGGTTAGTGTAATTTTTAATTTTTTTTTTTTGGTAATTTGTATAACTATTGTAAGTTATATTAATATAAAGTAAAAATATAAAGAATACAATGAAGATGGGAAAAAATTGCACTTATAAATTGCAAGTGTTACATTTATTTCTAAATTCAAACTTACAAATTGAAAGGTTTACATTTAACAACAAGTAAATTAACCAAAAAAGAGTAAATTCAAAGGTTTTGCATTGCCTTAGTAAGTTCGTCATAATCAATATGAACTGAGTGGCCTTCTTCTGTAGTGTTAAATTCGGATGGGTTACCATGTGTTAATATATCTCCAAGTTCCTCGTCTTCTGGGCTATCAACATCTTCACGTCCGTGATTTCTTCGTTCCGATCTAATCCAATCTCTGAAACATACTAAAACTTCCAAAGCATTGCTTCCCAATGAGTGACGGGTGTCTCCAAGTTGTTGTCTTGCTTGGCTAAATGCACTCTCTGATGCAACAGTTGAAATTGGCACATTCAGCACGTCCCGAGCCATAGCGGAAAGAACAGAAAATTGCTTTCCATTCTCATGCCACCATCCCAACGGTGAAAATTCCTTTGTGCGAGGCTCTTTTTGCTTCTGCAAGTAGAATTGAAGTTCATCAATGTTCCTGCTACTGGTTTGAGTGTTAGAAAATGTAGAAAAAATATTAAAACTATCAAGGCCTTCTTCATCATCCACAGTAGTAGAAGTGGTACAGTGCATAGTGGGATTAACATTGCCTACATTAAGAGCATCATCATCAATTATATTTGCATAAAAATTATATAATTTTTGTAAAGAATCATTTAGCTTGTTCATACAAACATATATATCTGGGGTTTCAGTTGGTCCAATCTCCATATAAGTATATAAAGCATTCATTAATTGGTGACAATTAGACATCTTAATAGAAGGATTTAAAACAGCACCAATTAAGTAAATCGGAGGAATTGGAAAGAAATATTTTTTGAATTTTGCTTGCATTTTTTCAACAACATCCNAGCCTGAAAGAGATAATTTTTTGCCTTTAAATCTTTCAACTTTCTTGCTTCAAACTCAGTCTTTTGAGCATCCGTCAAAGTTTCGCCTACTGCTGGTGCTTTAATGTCGTCTTCAACAATTGGCCAATACTCTTTTGACCGTAGGAAATTCTCCATCAGCATACTCCAGTGGTCATAGTGACCATCAAAACGGGGAATAGCTGCTTGCACAAAATTGCTCTCTGAAGCCATAGATGAAGAACAATTTTTTTGTTTGTGGGTAAACTCTCTCTCTCACAGGTTTATCTTTTTTCTGGATCTAACCTTGCTCTAGATACCACTGATAGAAAACTGATCAGAAAAGGATGAAGATTTATAAGTGAAAAATTGAGCAGAGAAAGAGGCAATAGACGTGAAAAAGAAATTGCTTGACTGATTGACTACAATGCTGCAACTGCAGTCTTTTATAACAGAAAAAACATAGCAAACTTAAGCCAAAAATTAGGAACTACCCCACAAAGTTTTCTCCTAAAAACTAGACAAAAACCACGTTAAACTACTTCCTAAGGACTAGGACAAACCTAAAAAGTAGGAGTTTTATTTACTAACACCCTCCCTTAAACTGAAAGCTTTCGAGCTTCAGTTTATCTTCAATTTCTTGAGTTCTTCCATGGTGCAAAGTCCCAGCAATCTTCTCAAATTTTGGAAAGAAAGTAACTTGAGAGGTTTAGTGAAAATATCCGCCAACTGGTCTTCACTCCGGCAATATGTTAGCTCTATTGTTCCTTCATTGTTGAGATCTCGTAAGAAATAGTACTTCACGTCAATGTGTTTGCTTCTTCCATGTAGCACCAGATTCTTTGACAACTTGATGGCAGAGTTGTTGTCACAGAAAATTGTAGTTGCTTTTTCTTGTTTGAATTTCAATTCTTCAAGAATTCTCCTTAACCAAACAGCTTGACAAGCACAAGTTGTAGCAGCAACAAATTCAGCTTCGGTACTTGACAAAGTGACAATTGATTGCTTCTTAGAAGACCGCGAAACAGCCCCCGTACCTAACATAAAAACATAACCTGAAGTGCTCCTTCTGTCGTCTTGATCTCCTGCATAATCACTGTCAGTAAAACCAATCAAATCAGATTTTTCACCCTTCTTGTAGAACAAAACAAAATCCTTAGTTCCCTGTAAGTAGCGAAGGATTCTCTTAGCAGCTAGCAGGTGAATTTCAGTTGGGCTTTCCATGTATCTGCTTATGAGACTTACAACATACATGATGTCGGGCCTTGTAGCAGTAAGATACATCAAACTACCTACAATTTGCTTGTAGAATGTGCTGTCCACCTTCTTTCCGCTTCCAACTTTGCATAGCTTCAAGCCAAACTCAACTGGAGTGTTGGCGGGATTGCAATTATGCATCTTGAACCTGTCCAAAATTTCTCGCACATACTTCTTTTGGGAAACAAATATTCCATTATCAGATTGTACTACTTCTAATCCAAGAAAGTAATGCATTTTACCAAGATCGGACATTTCAAACTCATCCATCATAGACTTCTTGAAATCGGCAAACATGATACTATCATTCCCAGTAAACATAAGATCATCGACATAAAAACACATAATGAGTATTTTTCCAGATTCTCCAGTTTTAACAAAAAGAGAGTGTTCATATGGACATTTCAGAAAACCAACTTTTAGAAAGTATGCCTTAATACGACTATACCAAGCTCGCAGAGCTTGTTTTAGTCCGTAAAGAGCCTTTTTCAACTTGTACACCTTATGCTCACTTCCAATTTTTATAACCAGGAGGTTGTTCTACAAATACCTGTTCTTCCAAGTGCCCATACAAAAATGCCGATTTGACATCTAATTGGAAAATAGGCCAAGAATTCTGTACCGCTAATGCAATCACCAATCTGATTGTATCGTGTCTTGCAACCGGAGCAAATACTTCTGTGTAGTCAATTCCATATTCTTGTTTGTATCCTTTAGCCACTAAGCGTGCCTTATACTTGTCAACTTCCCCATCTTCTTTTAGCTTTGTCTTGAATACCCACTTCACACCAATAGTTTTGTGCCCTTTTGGAAGATCTGATAGCTCCCAGGTGCCATTTCTTTCAATAGCATCAATTTCATCATCCATAGCTTTCCTCCATTTATCCTCTTTGATAGCATTTTCAAAAGTTGTAGGATCACTATCTGCAAACAATGCAAAGTAGGAAAAATCATCTTCATTTACATCAATTCCTGTTACCTCACAATCCATCATCCACCCGGGTCTTTTGCGAGCACGACGAAGAGACTCATCTGGTGCATCAATTTCTTCCAAAGCTGAGGGTGAAATTTCAGCAGCTGCTGGATTAGAATTTTCAGAATTTTCGGGTATTGTTGCTGCTTCTTCGACTTCATTATCAGTTAAGATTGGAATAGACTGCTGCATATTCCAATCCCAAGAGTTTTCTTCATCAAAAATAACATCTCTGCTGGTCACAACCTTCTTTGTCAATGGATTGAACAACTTGTACGCCTTGGATGCCTCGCTAACACCAAGAAAGACACACTTCTCGCTTTTGTCATCAAGCTTCTTCCTCTTCTCGTCTGGGATATGTGCATAGCCAATGCAACCAAAAATTTTAAAATGATCTACAGCAGGTTTCCTTCCACTCCAAGCCTCCTCTGGAGTCATGTTTTGAATAGCAAATGTTGGACTTCTATTCAAAATATGAATACTCCAATTTACTGCTTCTGGCCAGAATGTCTTTGGAACTTTTCCTCGAGCTAGCAAGCTTCGAACCATGTTGAGAATGGTTCTATTCTTCCTCTCCGATACACCATTTTGTTATGGTGTATACGCCGTTGTGAGCTCTTTTCGAATGCCATGAGTCCCACAAAATTCTTCAAATGCCTTAGAGCAATATTCGCCTCCACGGTCTGTTCGGAAGCTCTTGATGGTCTTTCCCGTCTCATTCTCCACATTAGCTTTGAAGCTTTTAAATACATTAAAAGCCTCTGATTTTTCCCGCAGAAAATACACCCAAGTCTTTCTAGAATAATCGTCAATGAAGGTAATAAAATACCTTTTGCCTCCATTAGAGATTGGTCTTATTGGCCCACATATGTCAGAGTGAACCAACTCCAAAACATGCTTTGCTCGCCATGATTTGCCTTTCGGGAATTGAGATCGGTGTTGTTTGCCAACAACACATTGTTCACAAATTTGAGAAGGAGCAGTAATTTGAGGAAGACCTGTGACCATGTTCTTCTCCTGAAGTGTCTTCAATCCTCCAAAACTCAAATGACCATAACGAAAATGCCACAACCATGAGGGATCCTTCACTTCCGTCATCAAACAAGATTGAATACTATCAATCTTTATCGGAAATAATCTGTTGGAACTCATCTGAACTATTGCTATAGCTCCTCTCATGGGGTCATAAATTTCACACTCACCCTTCTTAATAGTGATGACATAACCTTTCTCTTGCAACTGACCAACACTCAGTAAGTTGCTTTTCAAATTTGGAACATATAACACATTAGAGATTGTTTCCACAAAACCATTCTTGGTTTTGATCTTGATGTCACCTTTTCCCGTTGCATCCACAGTAGAACAATCACCAAAACTAACTTTAGAACTGATCACGCCCAACTCTAGTCCTAAAAAGGATAAGCGGTCGCTGCAAATATAATCCGGTCTACAAGTCCGGAGTCGAATCCACAGAGAACTAAGGCTTAGCTATACCTGTTTAATATCACTAAGAAGACAAGTTTGAACAATTTTCTAAATTATAAAGATTGAGATTTATATTTCTAACTAATTAACTAGCAAATACTACAAAAAGCGATAAAATTATCAACTAACGAGACAAAGGGTTGGAGACTAAATTAAGGAGGTCTAGAGAATTGTCGGAATGCTTCTAGCTATGTTCCCTACAATTTCGCCAATGTATTCTCTACTGATCGTGAGCACTTTAGGTGTCGTAATTCTCTCTCGAGCAACTACAACAATTTACTAGACATATTCTCTCGAACTACGCTAGTTGGCTTTATCTAACCGCTCATTATGACCACGTCAAGGCTTTGTTATTTCTAAACCTACCTTTAAACCCAATATATTAATTTCTCACATACGTTAGGAGTGACGTTGTTCAACAACTACCTAAATATGTATCCTTTCTCAAGCAACACATAATAAATAGGCACAGTCAATCGATGACCATTCAATCAACAACAATAAACACGTAGTTGAACAAGTAGAGAAATCCAACGGCTCAATTATATAAAAACATAACAAGAATTTATCCTACAAAAGGTTCATCAAAACCTTAGATAACAAATTAGTTATTCATAATAGTATGTAAAACTACAATACTAAAAGTCTTAACCAACAACGAAAAATAGGAAGAGGAAGGAAAAACTCGTTGAAGAATTCTCCGCCTTGCTCCCAGTGTGTTCTTGACTCCTTAGGTCGAATCCCCGGTCTCCTTAGCCTCCTTAGGTCTAAATTATGTCAAAAGTGTGTCCAACCTTCAAAAATACCATTTTTCCATGTATATATACCAAGTAGGGTCGGACCCAAACAATTATACCTTCTCCTATGCGAAAAAGGACAATATTTCACGTCTGGACTGCCGCGGCCGCAGTCAACCGCGGTATATGGCAGGTATACTGCCTCAGCCCGCCTCAGCTCCGCGGTCTCGGTTTCGACCGCGTTTTTCTCCCTGTTTCGTTTGGAATTTGGAAAAATGTAAAACACGAAAGTTGTAGCCCTTTGGGTTAACTTTCCAACCGTATATTGTGGAGACCAAATGGAGTTCTGAGCAAAAAGTTATGTGCATTTTACTAGACAGTGCACAATATGCCTACTCGATTCTTCGTTTTGTTGCTCTATCACCCGTTGACCCCCGAATACGATCCCGACTTAATTCCTTGGGCTTTTACTCAGACTTCAAAGCTCCAAATCACTTGAATTCATTCCATAACATCTATATAGCTCGGAATCACTTCTACAAGGCATAAAACACACCGTTAGTGCAAAACACTAGCGATTAAAGCGCAAACTCAACTAAAGTGCAGTAAATTAGAGTGTAATAATCGACTAAAATACGCAATTATAGCCTATCATCAACACCCCACACTTAAACCATTGCTCGTCCTCGAGCAATCAAACTACACTTTGTTATAGACATGACCTTTTTAAACAATTCTCCTAACTCATCACACCAAGAGTATTTAAAATAGACTAAGCACAAAAGCATAACATCTTCACCTCAAGATTTGACTCACGAGTACCACGCATTATTCACAACTCACCTACTTACTCTAACATAGAGGTCACTCACATTACCTTTCCTTCATGAATCAAGTGCCCTCACACAACATAAGAGAGTAGTTCCACACAATAAAATTTAAGAACACTTAGGAACTTAAGATAGAAAGAATTCACTCACTCTCAGAAATAACATTCATATGCCACAAAAGATGCACCATAAGCTTGCCCGTAGTGTACTACTCTACTAATCGAGCTCATTCAATCTAGGATCAATTAGGACTTTATTTGGTTGTAATGTAGGCTACGGGACGGGTAGGATACATTTAGATATAAGAGTGACTACACCCCCCTAAGCACTTTAATACATATACTTTAACATTCAAACCCAATACTTATGTCAAACCAAAACTCCACCTTCACATCAATGTATATTACCCCATTCTTCTTTAAGCACACTTACATCAAGAGCCACCACTTATCAAGGAATTTTTTTTTTCACAACAATCCAACTATTTTTTTTTCTTTTTTTGTTTCAATTCAAGTGGCTCTTACTTTTTTCAAAACAGTGCACCTTTTTCCTTATTTCATTAGTTCCACTCAAAAGCCAAACCAACCATCCCACACTTTAACTTTTACAAAGTTCATAACAATTCAAGTGCTCATGAGAGGTGAAAAGGTTCAAGTAGATGGTTAATTCAAACAAAGGTGTAAGGCTTGTAATGTGGTTGCCAAAGAAATAGGATTACAAGCTCAAAGGGGTTAACTACGATACATAATAATTAGGTGGGTAAAATATACATATCTGGCTCAACAAAGAAACACCTATATCACTTCCAAGACTAAACAAAACTACTATTTCGCTTTGCAAACACACGGGGCAAGTTCTAGGCATCAAATGCAATGCACAGAATATAACAAATCCTTACACACACATGGCACATAACTCACTCAGGTTTGGATTCATAGACACTCTAGTCAAAGCAGTTAAGCAAAGTTAAGATAATATAATTTAAGGTACTTCTACAAGAGTCAAAAACTGAGCCTAAGCGTCACAACGAAAGTACTCACTATTCTCAAGGCATAACCAAGTGAAGAGATATTGCTTCAATTCAAAGCACAACACAATGGCTCCTACTCCCAAAAAAAAAAAAACTAACTACACCCGGTTCAAACAAAACCCTTGGAAAAGAACCGCGGCACAAAGAAAAACCAAGGGGGAATTATTACACTACCTACAAAGAAAATCTTTTTATTTTATTTTTTCTTTAGACTTAAATCCCTCAAGAAAGTTGTCTAATATATCCATCGTCGGGAAAAGTCCAATCTTTTATATTTTAAAAAAAGTATT